ATCTTGATCTTGATTGTATATTTATGTTAAATTGTATATCATTATATTCTCATGTACCACCGTGGGTGGGTTTTTAGAGAATAAAATGTTCTGTTCTGTTCTGTTCTGTTCTGAAAGGTTACGAGCCTGACATGGACTGCGTTGATGGAGTTGGTTGCTAAGTAGCATTCAGCATAATCCCCTCCAACGACACCACACACGGATCATGATCATTTGCAAACACAAATAGACAGTTCTCACTTCCGGTATATCAAAACAGGTGGGAATTTGACGGCGCCAAGGTTGGTGCAAGTTAATGTCACCATTATCAATGGACACATGTTCTTTTGCAGGAAAAGGAAAAGTAATGCATCTGTATGAGATTTAATTCCAAATAACTATTCCCAACAGAATGATAACAAAGCCATAGCACAATCTCCAGATCGAACTGTTTCCGAGATGCATACATGGGTGATCAATTTTCAACTCTAGTGTTTAAATTACGACGATATTACACTTTCCTAAAAACATAACCTAAATGTACTCAATTATATTCCATAGAAAAGTGTCACAAATATTAATTGTTTGTATCTGAATGACATAAGTTGTTTTTACTATTATCATCTTACTGAGATTTGCATGAGTTATTGAACGTCAGATGACCATAGGTTTTGTTAGTTCATTGGCCAAGGCGCTCTAGTGTACGTCGTGTCATTTAACATGAAGTGAGTGAGTGAGTTAGTATTTAGCGTCACATCGGCAATATTTCAGCCATATCGTGACGAGAACAAGTCAATACAAGAGAACAATATTAAAATCAATAAATTGAGAACATAAAATCATGTCATTGAGGGACAGTAAAAATACTAGAGCATCACAGATATAAATTTAAAACAAGTACGCTATCATAAAATCACTATGGAAATTACAAAATCAACAATTGAAAGTAGATCACCATACAAGGGTCCATGGGGACTTACAGTACCTTTGCTACCTGCATGGACCCTAAAAAGTTAAAACAATTAAGCCATAATTTAAAATCACTCAAATGCTACGTTTAAAAATTCTGGTAAGTTGAAAGGTACCTTGAAGGTTTTGGGACTGACGTCTCCTCGCAGGAGGACAATAATTTTATAGTACTGTAACCCCTTTTGAGGCTACAGACACTAAAGCAATGTTTATACGCAACATTTGCACATGTGTGTATTTCTTGCATATGTGTAAATTTGCTTACGTGAGTATATTTGGTCGTATAAACGCAATTACACTTATGCAAATTTTACTACCCCACGCAAAAATACTCCTGGCCTGGACCAGATGCAAATGTTTTACTACCGGTGAATAAATGCTTATTTTTTGCTACCCTAAGCAACTATGGTCGTATGAACGCATAGCAACTTTACGAGTATTGTGTTTAGCAACCCTGTTCAGTACGAATTCAAAATCTGATAGGCACTGTAATCAAATCATTACAGAAATGGACGTAATAAGCGGATCAAAAACATTTTTTGTGTACAATATCTTGACACTCAGCACAATTTCAAGACATCACGTGGACGTTTGCAGTCCATTCAGACCTTTGACTTCAGTATCTAGTGTGGCCACCACGAGCAGCAATAACTGCAGCACAGCGTCTATGCATGGAGTGCACCAATCGATTGATGAAGGCTATTGGCACCTGGAACCACACTCTGAGAAAGGCCTGGCGCAATAATTCGGCTGTGTTCGGCCTTGGTATGACATTATTCAGACTCCTCTGAATTTCATCCCAAAGATGTTCAACTGGGTTTAAATCAGGACTAAGGGCTGGCCACTGCATAAGGTTGACGCCGGTCTGCTGTAGGAAGTCCCGTGTAGCTCTGGCAGTATGGGCCCAGGCGTTATCATGCTGGAAAATGTTCCGGTGACGTACGAAATGTGGTATGACGTGGGGTCTGAGAGCTTGGTCGATGTAGCCCACCGCTGTGATGCCGCCTCCTCTCCCTGGAGGGGCGGTGGGGTAGCCTAGTGGGTAAAGCGTTGGCTCGTCACGCCGAAGACCCAGGTTTGATTCCCCACATGGGAACACTGTGTGAAGCCCATTTCTGGAATATTGCTAATAGCGGCGTAAAACCAAACTCACTCACTCACCTCTCCCTGGACCAAGGTTCTTGAACACCACAGAACCCACTCTCTGGTTCAGGCCTATTTCATCCCATACCATGGTGCTTGCACGACCCCATGAGTCTTTTTCCATAACACATTGGTCTGAGTAACGCTGGCCACGTCGTCGCCATATTCTTGTTCTGCCATCTGCAGATGACGTGGGGGGAGGATAGGTCCACGGTAAGGTCTACGGCAATGGAGGTTCCCGCTGTTAAGACGGCGTACTGTATCAGTACTGATTGGTCTTCCGTGTGTTCCCACTGTCTGGCGTGCTGTTTCGGATGCCTGCATGGTGGTCTTGTCTTGTGGTCACCCTTGGTCTGCCAGTACGGGGGCGATCATTTGTCGTGTTGGTGGCCCGGAAACGTTGCTGCAGCCTGTAGATGGTCCGAACGTTGACCTGGAAGTGATTGGCAACGGCTTGTGCAGTGTGGCCAGCTTCAAGTCTTCCTAGTGCCTGGTTCCTCTGAGCTGTAGTGAGTCGCGGCATCCTGCTGACGTTGTAATGTGAATGTTTCAACTAGGTTTGGGGGTGCATTTTATAGGGCTGGTCATTGTGAACAGCACGTGCAGCATGAGTTGCATGAAAAACATGGAGAACACCGTGCCATCTCCGAGGTCAGGTTGCGTTTTTGAGACCATTTCCTGGGTTCAATTCTGAGTTTGGAAAGGAATGTCTTTGCTCAGATAAAGTTGGAGATATTGTCAAAAATATACAATCAAAACATTAAATAAGTTTACAGTTATACGTTTATGCGAAGGAAAATTCCAAACTGACGTTCCTTTTGCTGCTTAGTATATTATGTGAGTAGATCAATTAACAGGGAATAAACTTTAACAGTCAAGGCTGACCTATGGGAGTTTGATCTTATTGTGCAAGAGATAAGCCATTTAGGCATATTTATGATTAATCCATTATCAATGTAGGTGAGCATTTGGTCCTTGTGGGGTATCTAACTATTGAGGTATCACCGGGAAATGCCAATACCTTCTTGATATCTCACATCCTACTCCATCCAATTCTAGGGCAGAAATGATCTATCATCAAGATTTACTACCACTTTGCTTAGAGAACTCAAAGTCCGTATGAACGCACAGCAAATTGCACGCCCCAGCAAATTGCACACCCTATGTAGATTTACTCATGTATGCCAATTTGCACGTGTATAATCTCAAATACCAATAATAAAACCTTAATCTAGTTACAAAACATATTTCATAATTTATGCAACAATTTCTTTTAAAACTTCAATAATTGAATGATAATTTACTTTATTAAAAAGATCTTTGGCCGTTTTAACACTGAAGTAGTTTTCCCCTGTAATGGAAAAATCAACAAAGTCAAGCAGGACATGCTTGACTGGGATTCTCTCATCACAAGGAATACAAAACGAATGATCCTCACCTTTAAGTAGACATTCTTGTGTACAGCAAGTGTGGTCAATGCGATAGTTTCGCATGATGACCTCTTCAAATTTGGATTGACAGCCCAAGTAGGTGTAACCGATAGTAGGCTTTATTTGATGTAATGTATTGATTCCTACTTGGGTGTCCCACTTTTTCTGCATCAGATCATGGATATAAGATCTAATGGTAGCTTTATAATCTGAGTATGGAATGAGTAGCAGTGTCACATTTGAGTTGAGTGCTGCCTTTGCAGCTAAATCAGCCATTGTGTTACCAGAAATACTAACATGGCTGGGTAACCAACAGAGGACGATGTCGCATTGGCCAGAAGCAAGATCATTATATAGTTCAATGATTTCAATTAAAAGTGGATGTTTACAAGATATGTCTAAATAGCCTGACATACACTATGACATTCATGTCAAGGTCAAAGTCAGTCTTGAAAATATGTGTGTCTTTGAACACCTAAAGAGCAAGATGTCAAGAGAGGTTGACTGGTCATGTTTTTGTTGACATTTAACTTAAACTTTCATTACTTTATAAGTTTGATTTGATAATTTGCGGCGGTGGATTATGTCACCTTAGTGACAATGTTTGTTACAGATAGAGACGTACAGGGATCAAAGAGATTAAGTGGTATGTTTATGCAATGGATTTTCAGACTGTTTATACAACTAAAAGGATAGGATATACTATACATGATAAGATTGATAGGAAGCCACATACGGAAACGATGATAGGAAAACACACATATGAAAACATTCATCTAAGGATGTACAGCAATTAAGGGGGACATGGGAAAACATGTACATTGAAAGCTTATTATTCTATGCACCAAGCATTTGGTAGGGACACGCCCTGATCCCTGTTAATTTCAGGTTTGTCGCGGTGGATCCAGATGGCCTCCATCAATTTTCTCTTCCGCCAATTGCTGATGTTGACGGCCAAAATGTCAGTGTCATCCCAATAGATGGTATGGCATGGATTTCTGAACACATGTTCTGATAAGGCTGATTTTCCGAGTTTTTCACCGATGCTTTGTGCTCTTTTATACAAGTACATACAGGCCTGCCTGTTTCACCTATGTAGGTGCTGTCACATGTACATTTCAATTTGTATACACACTCTCTTGGGTAAGGGGTAGTTTCGCTGCTTCCTTTACCACTGGCTGTCAGTAAAGATTTCGGCACCTAAGTGGAAGCGTCTGACTTTGTGTGCTGGCGATTAGGTGCCTGACTCTGAGGGTGCGGGTTCGAATCCCGGATGGGACTCAACCCAAAAAGTACTAGAATCTGTACTTTACTAAGTAAGTGTAATCCCAAATATAACATATGTTAGGGTCTTGAGGTGTTTCTTGTGTTTCCGCTCTAGTTTGACCGTAGGATCCCTGTCAAGGATCTTATAGGTGCTGCTGTCACTGAGGGCGTTGTTGACTAGGCTGATGAACCCTGGGGTGTCCATCACTACAGCTGCCTTCCCTTTGTCGGCTTCCGTGATGGTAATGACCGGGTCGTTGCAAAGTTCGGTGATGGCACGACATTCTTCCTTTCTGATCTTAGGTTGGCTCTGAAGGAGAGCAGAAATCTGGTGCCGTAGAAGCAACCTTACAAAGGAGGAACGTTCAATAGTATGCATATTTTTACCGCGACAAGAAATATTAAAATAATCAACAAAAAAGGATCAATAATATAAACCTTTGATAAACTGTTGATCTTGATACTAAATATAGTCACAGACAAAATACTGCATTATGGAAAACACTGATCCTGATTGTAATGAACAGACAGGCTAGAACCCACGCGGACTTTGTCTGTCATTTAAAACGTTGGCTATAAATTGACGCAAACTGCCTCGCAATCCGAAGCCATGTAAATCTTTTAAAATAACCATATTTCCACGTAGTGTCATGTCTTTCTTCAAGATCAGAAAAGATAGACACAGCGATCGTGTAGTCATTAAATGATCGAAGGTATCATTTAACATGAAACGTCAAACTATTTAATATTGTGTGCATCCGTCTCAAAACATTATCGGCTTCCACGAGGCATACTCATTATTCAACATCCAATGTCAGTTTCCTGTGGGAAGAATAATTATGATAATGTATTTCCACGACGACAATGAATCGCCAACATGGAGTGATGACATGATGTTATGTGATGTGATGTGATGTGATGTTCGTTAAGGAGGGATCCGTCATAAACACATGCAAAGGCTAGTCAGCTGAATAAATCCAGGAACTACGGCACAAATAAATTTTTGTCCAAAATGCGTCCTATTATCAAATCTACTCCAAATTTTCCATAAACTCTTTTGAATTCTTTACAGCGGCCTGGCATATACCTATCTTGATTGAACAACCTCTTAGTGAGAGTTGTGGGACTCTCTTTGAAATTGATGACTTATTAAGCCGTATGGTGTCGATGATTATGTGCGCGTCAACGTGTTTATTTGTCTGTGTGATCTTCCCAGCCTGATGACACGAGAATACATGATACAATGAAATGATCAACGCCGACAATGTTCACTTCTACGGTATACTAGATGACACACCAAATCACTCCACAGATGTTAACTTCAACTTCTTATTGACTTTGTACTCTTTATACGTGTAAGCTAACAGGTGATAATTCTCTAAACTGTACAGTACGCTTACAGACGCCACACATCGATTTAAATGAAAACCATTGTCAATGGCTTGCTGCTTGAGGTTATCAAACACGATAAGATATAGGCTTCTACGTTTGTGGAACTGTCATGGTCTCGAATTGTTTATTTGAATAGCATATTTACTGAAGCCTCTGTTATCGGCTTTGGCATTCCTACACGGGATCAATTATAGCAACAGACGTAACAGCAACTTGGGATGCTCAGGGTTTGAATATTGATAACGTCACTCTTCACCTTGGATGTTAATTTAGTCACGTGGACCAAATTATTTGCTACAGCCACCATTAGTTATCAGACTTCTTCCAGACATAGCCTCTCAAACAGTCTCAGTATGATGTCTGGAACATGTATCTTGCAGATGCTCATGTTTATGGTTTACCCATCCTCGTATGTGTGGACACTGTCGCTGGGTGAGTTCTGTTTATCATGCTATATTATTTTAAAAGTACATTTATTCACATATAATGGGCATTGGCAATTGTTGGATTGGTAAAATGCATTTATAAATGTTATAAGGTTACGCAATGACATAGCTTTCTAAATTAACTTTGCACATACTCACAAGTAGGAACGTAGTATTCGATCGAGTTCAAATGTATAGTATACAAAACTAGCTTGCAATAACATCAAAGCAACACATTCTGCACCCGTCCTGTCGTATTCCGTTCCTGTTCAGGATTGGACAGAACAGGAAATTCAGCGTAATGCCACCCTTACAAGGAGTGAGTGAGTGAGTGAGTGAGTTGATATTTATCGTCACACGATTAAAATTCCATGTATCTATTTACAAAGCATATTATTCAAAATGTATCTAATAATTCTATTTCCTTTAAAAAAAACAATTATTAAAATGAAAATTAATATTATAAAAAGATCCTTAATTGTTTTGTCATTTAAAAATTTATCCCTTGTGATGGAAAAATCAATACAGTCATGCAGGACATGCTTGAATGTGATTTTTTCATCACAAGGGATGTAAAACGGAGGATCTTCGCCCTTTATCCAATACTCATGATTATATACTCTCCCCAAAAAGAAACGCATATAGGAATTTCAACTGTATTTTTATGTTTATTTTGAAACATCTTGTGGGCTTTATGAGTCAATGAAATATAGCGAAATTGCACACTGGAAATGCAGACTTATCCGTCTTTGGCACCAACTCGAGGAAAGTCAGTTTGAGTGTCACATGGAGACGAGTGGTGGCGCTGAAGTCAATACCTCGCATGACCACCGTGGGCATCCAGAACTGCACGGCATCGCCTCGGCATCGAACGAATACGTCTCAGAATCTCGTGTTGCCCAATCGCAGCCCACTCTGCCTGTAGTGCCTGTGCGAGTTGCTGAAGTGTCTGGGGCTGAGGGTTACGGCGTCGCACCCGTCTGTCCAGGGCATCCCACAGATGTTCGATCGGGTTTAAGTCCGGTGATCTGGAGGGCCAGGGGAGCACATTGATGGTGTGGTTCTGGAGGAAGTCTCTAGTGTGACGTGCTGTGTGGTGCCTGGCATTGTCCTGTTGAAACAACTCCCTCTGGCGATCAATGATTGGAAGGAGGTGTGGGCGTAGGATTTCGTCACAGTACCGTTGAGCTGTCAGGTTGCCATGGATCATCACCAAATCACTTCTCCTACGGCAGGTGATCGCTCCCCACATCATAACACTGCCCCGGCCGAATCTGTCCACCTGGGGAACGCAAGCGTCGGCGAAACGTTCACGTCGACGTCTGTACACCCGCATTCTTCCATCGCATCGTTCCAATAGAAATCGTGATTCATCACTAAACCAGATTCTACGCCAATTCGGTAGGTTCCAGGCCTGAACGTTGGTGCACCTTTGAACTCGATGTCGACAATGTTGTTGTCGAAGCACAGGGCCAAAATAAGGTCTTCTGGCACGTAAACCAGCCTCTCCCAACCTGTTCCTGACGGTGTGTGTGCAGAAAGCCTCCTCAATCCGGGTATTTGTCGAGCGTTACTGGTCGCCGTAGCTGTTCGATGACGCAGGTGATGTACCCGGATGTAGCGATCCTGCGCCGCAGTGGTCGCTCGAGGTCGCCCACTACGAGGGGCATCTGCTACCGAATTCTGCCGGCGATAGCTCTTCCAGAGCCGTGAAATGGTGCTTTGGTGAACATTCATGTGTCGGGCAACTGCACGTTGAGACTGGCCAGCTTCAAGCAAACCAATGGCGATATGACGGTTGGCTTCACTTAGACGTGGCATTTTGCGTTCGTCAACAATATTCCAAATACAGTGAATAATCGACAGACAGCGATCAACCTTTTATACCCATCATTGAGACTATCTGATCCCCAACTTTCACGTGCATTGCATGTGAATTGTGTATTCTGTGGCACTACACGCCGAAATTGAAATTCATGCTGTTAAATACGGGTATTTTACGGATGGTGCGTTTTGTTGTGAGGTTTCAAAACATAAACACCATAGGACTCATAAACAGAGCAAAACCTTTTGTAAAATGAATCACGTTTTAATTCATTGGTACATGAAATTGCTATTTTCATGATGCGTTTCTTTTTTTTGGGAGAGTATATCTAGTATGGCCAATCGTCGCATGCTGTCCTCCTCAAATCTGGACTGACAGCCCAAGTAGGTGTACGATCTCATGACAGCTTTGTAATCAGAGTTTGGAATAAGAAGTGGTGTCACAGATTTGTTGAATGCAGCCTTAGCAACAAAATCGGACATTGTGTTACCAGAAATTCCAACGGGGCTGGGTAACCAACAGAGGACGATGTCGTATTGGTCAGTTGCAAGGTCATTATATAATTCAACTATTTATTTTCAACTCAGAACTGGCACGGACCAGGGGAATCCGACTGTCTAATTAAGAAACAATTTATACAATAAAGATGAAAACAGTCTGAAGATGAAAAAACATTCTGAAGGGTAAAACCTGTCGACGATGGAAAGTAAGAATAATAGCGTATCACTAATATGAATTTGGTGGTGTGTGGACTTGTGCACAGAGCACAGGTCACGAATCAGTTGAAGTTAAGCAACGTCGAGCTCGGACAGTCCTTAGATGGGTGACCGTGTTTGGCAGCTTGACTCCTGAGTTTTTCTAAGACTTCAGTCCTTCCCCACAACGAAGCACACGTGATACATGTGGTCTCACCTGAGGCATGTGAGTTTGTTCCAAGTGTCTCTGTTCACCCAGCAGAAAATGGGTACCCGGTTGGATAAAGCCACGTGACTATAACCTTCAAGCGCCTAACAGGCAGCGTGGGTTATCCGGGATAATAAGAATCAGATTCTTATTAAGCGCCGCGAGCAATCACTTGGTGTTTGGAGACTGTGCGCTATAGAGTGAGTGAGTGAGTTATTATTTAACGTCACATCGGCAATATTTCAGCCATATCGTGACGAGAACACTTGACATTGAAATAGAATATATATAGATAGTACAAAAACCTGCCGACAAAGGACAGTAAAGCAGCTAGAGTATCACAGATATACATGTAAAACTAGTAATTGAATCTAACACATTTTAACTATAGGGGACAACACAATATAAAAATAGGCTATAGATCACCAACAACTGAAGTTAGATCACCATACTAGGGTCCATGGGGAATTACAGTACTTTTGCTACCTGCATGGACCCTAGCTGGATTTATATCATCCCTTCAGCCGCTGGCGATTGAAGTCAAATTTAGCCAAAATTAAAATGACAGAAATGCTACATTTAAAACAGCTGGTGAATTTAAATTTCCGTTGAAAGTTTTGGGACTTACGTACCCTCTCAGGAGGACAATAATTTTACGCTACTTCAACCCCCATTGAGGGTACAGCCATTAACAATCTCAGTTACTAATCTAAACTACCAATAATAAAATATGTATCGATTTACAAATCAGTTAACAAGTCTAATTTTTTTCAAAGGCAATAATTAAATGAGAAC